GCTTCGCTTCTCTTACCGGTTTAGCTGAGCATTTCGTTGTCTTTGGACTCCGTATTGTCGATTTTCTGTGTGGCTTGGTTTTGATTGTTGTTAAAAATAGTTGTTCTTAGATTTGGTTGTGCACAGAGGCAAGGTGTTTCCTTCACCTACGTCTCCATCTTGGCCTTATTTTTTGTTTTTAAATTTGTTGTTGTTTTGGTTGTGCATGGAAGCAAAGCATATCTACCTACGCTTCCATCTTGGCCACAAGTTCCACAATATTCTATATGTAGTATTGTTTTATCTGCAAATAGGAGAGTTTTACTATTTCTTTTCAATTTGGATGCCTTTTATTTATTTTTTCTGATTACTGTGGCCATGACTTCAAATGTCATATTAAACTGAAGTGATAGTGGGCATCCTTGTCTTGGCTCTGACCTTAGAAAAAAAGATTTTAACTTTTCATCTTTGAGTTTGATATTAACCATGGATTTGTCATATATGACTTTTATTATGTTGAGATATATTCTTTTTATACAATTTTGTTGAGAGTTTTTATCATAAAAGAATGTTAAATTTTATCAAATGCTTTTTCTGCATGGATTGAAATATCATATGGTTTTTATCCTTGATTTTGTTAATATGATGTGTCATGTTGATTGGTTTACTGATGTTGAACCATCCTTGTATTCCTGAAATGAATATCACTGGTCATAGTATATCTTTTAATATATTATTGAATGTAGTTTGCTAATATTTTGTTGAGAATTTTTGCATTTATGTTCACCAGGAATATTGTCCTGTAAATTTTCTTTTTATGTAATGTCTTTGTCTTCTTTTGATACCAGGGTAATACTGGCTTCACAGAATGAGTTTGGAAACATTCCTTCCTCTTCAATTTTTTGCAATAGTTTAAGAAGGATAAATGTTAATAGTTCTCTAAGTGTTTGGTGGAATTCACCTGGGAAGCAGTCTAGTTTTAGAATTTTATTTGTTGGGGAGTTTTTTGATTACTGCTTCAATTTCATTGCTAGCTATTAGTCTATTTAGATTTTGTATTTCTTCCTGGTTCAGTCTTGGAAGATTATATTTGTCTAGAAATGTATCCATTTCTTCTAAATTGTCAAATTTGTTGGCATATAATGTTTAAAGTATTCTTTAATGAACACTAAACTACCTTATATTTCAGTGGTATCGGTTGTAACTTTTCTTTCATGTATGATGTTATTTATTTGGGCTCTTTTTTTTTCTTGAGTTTGGCTAAAGTTTTGTCAAATTTGTTTATTTTTTTTCAAAGAACCAGCTCTTGGTTCCATTGATCTTTTCTACTATTTGTTTTTTCCATTGTGATCTTAAGTATTTCCTTCTTTATGTTTACTTTGAGTTTTGTTCATTTTTCTTTTTCTAGTTTTTCTAGGTATAGTGTTAGAATAGTTATTTGGGATTTTCGTTTGCTAACATAGTCTGGTATAGCTAAGAACTTCCCTCTTAGGACTATTTTGCTGCATCTATAAACTTTGAAAAGTTGTATTTTCATTGGTTTCAAAATAGTTTTAATTTCCTCTTTGATTTTCTCCTTGATCCATTACTTGTTTAGTAGCATGTTGTTTAGTTTACATATTTGTGTTTTTCTCAATTTTCTTCCTGTAGTTGATTTCTAGTTTCATGTCATTGTCAAAAAAGGTGCATGATATAATTTCAGTGCTCTTGGATTTATTCAGGCTTGTTTTGAGGTCTAATATGTTATCTATCCTGTAGAATGTCCCATGTGTACTTGGAAAAAATGTAGATTCTGCAGTTTTGGATTAAATGTTCTAAAAATGTCCTATGTCGATCTGGTCTAATGTGACTTTTATGGTTATTAATTTCCTGATTAATTTTTTTTTTTGCCTGGATGAACTATACATTGATGGGAGTGGGGTATTAAAATCCCCTACTATTATTGTATTACTGTGGTTTCTCCCTTTATGACAATTACTAATTTCTTTATATATTAAGGGGCTTTCATATTGGGTACATAGATATTTGCAATTTCTATAATCTCTTCTTTGATTGGTCCCTTTATAATTATGTGTCCTTTGTCTTTTTTCTTTTATTTACTTTGTTTTAAAGTATATTTGTCAGATACTGTATTGCTACCCTAGCTTTTTATTTCTATTTGCATAGAATATCTTTTCCATTTCTTTTAGTCTGTATTTGTCTTTCAATTTTAAGTAAGACTCTGTAAGCATCATATAGATCATGTTTTATAATTCATTCAGCCACCCTGTGTATTTTTATTAGAGTATTTAATGATTTGTATTTAAAGTAATTATTGATAAGAATGTACTTATTGCCATTTTGTAATTGTTTTCTGGTTGTTTTTATAGCTGTTTTTTTTCTCTTGATCTCTTTCCTTGCAGTTTGCTGGTTTTCCTTAGTGTTTTGTTTGTGTTATTTCCTCTTTATTCTTTGTATATATTTTGTAGATTTTTGGTTTGTTGTTACCATAAGATTTATGTATATCATTGTATAACCATAGCAGTCTATTTTAAGTTGAAATTTTTTAAGTCAAATATATTCTATACAGATGACATTTTTCCTCCCTGCTGCATGCTTTGTTAATTGATGTCATGTTTTAGATATTTTTGTGTTGTGTATCTTCTAACTTCTTGTACTTTGAGTTGAGATTGATATTTTTTCTTTTGACCTTGCAGTAATTTTTTTAAATGTGCGATTCTGTGGGTTTATTAAATATTTGGCTTTACCTGTAAGATTTTTTCCATTCTTTTTTCTTATTTCTGGTTATGTTCTTAAGTTTTCTGCTTAAAGACCCTTTAACAGTTCGTGTAAAACTGGTTTAATGACGATAAACTTTTAGTGTTCACTTGTCTAGGAAACTGTCTCCTTTAATTCTGAATAATACCCTTGCTTGGTAAATTATTCTAGGTTGTCAATTCTTTTATTTCAGCACTTTAAGTACCTTCTGGTCTATAAAGTTGGTGCTAGGAAATCATGTTCTTCTTTCTTAAGATTGCTTTTGTGATTCAGGTTTTTTGTAGTTGCACACAAATGTTATGACTTTTTTTAATTACCATGAAGAATGCCACTGAAATTTTGATAGGGATTGTACTGAAATTATAGATTGCTTTGGGTAGTATGGGTATTTTAACAATACTGATTCTTCCAATACATCAGCATAAGACATTTCTATTTATTTGAGGTTTTTTAAATTTCTTATGATTTAAATGTCTTAAAGTGTTCAATGTACAGGTCTTTCACCTCCTTGGTTAAATTTATTCCTAAATATTTTACAATTGTTGATGCTACTCTGAATGGGATTTTTTAAATTTCTTTTTCAGATAGTCTGTGTTCATGTACAGAAATAAAACTGATTTTTAATATTGATGTTGTATCTTGCACAGATGTGTTAAATTCATTAAGAGTTCTAACAGTCTTTATGGAGCCTTTAGGGTTTTTTATATATAAGATTATGGCATCTCCAAACAGACTATTTTACTTCATCATTTCTTTTTTGGATGCCTTTTATATTTTTCTGCTTATTAATGGCTGGGATTTACAGTACAGTGGTGAATAGGGGTGATGAGCACAGGCAGCCTGTCTCGTTTCTGATCTTAGAGGGGAAACTTTCAGCTTTTCATCATTGAGAGTAATGTTAGTTCTGGACTTGTCAAAATGGCCTTTATTATGTTGAGGTACATTCCCTCTATACCCACATTATTGGGAGTTTTTATTGTGAATAAAAGTTAAATTTTGTCAAATGCTTTTTTCCCTATCTTGAGATGATTATATGATTTGTATCCTTCATTTTGCGAATGTGGTGTATCACTTTGATAAATTTGCAGATTTTGTACCATCCTTACATCTCTGGAATAAGTCCCGCTGATTGTGCTGAATGATTTTTAAAATGTATCATTGGATACACTAAAACCATGGGCCCAGCGCCTGCTGAAAGCAGGCATGAAAGCCCTGGCTGGCTAGCTCAGTTGGTTAGAGTGTTGTCCTGATCCACGAAGGTTGTGGGTTTGATCCCCAGTCAGGACAAGTACAAGAAACAATCAGTGAATGCATAAATAAATAGACAACAACGTGATGTCTGTCTGTCTATCTGTCTCTCTCTCTCCCTCTCTGTTTTTCTCTCTCTCTCATCAATAAATAAAAATTATCTTTTAAAAAAGCGAGCATGTGGGAGTTTTTACCTACATGACCTTGATGCACTGCTATGGGCCCCTATCAGTATCTCTATTTCATAGATATTGTTCCAGGGTGTGTCTGACCTCAAAGTTCTGTCCCTTCCACTATTATATAGTCTGCCTCCCCTCTGGAACTGAGATGAGACAGGCACCATGCAGAGATCGTAGGCAAGTCATCACTTGTGGAAGGAGAGATCATACATCTTCCCATTATCCCTAGTAATACTTCAATAGCTTCAGTAAAAAAGGAGGAAAACTAGAGTAATAGAATAAGAAAGCGCCTACGGGCTGCAGGGGCAGTTCTTAACTCTGAAATTCTTTAGTCGAAGAACTTCATGAAAATAATAGCTGCGATCGACCAAATTTCCCCCCCATAACTCATATGTTGAAGCTCTAATCCCCAGTGTGATGGTATTTGGAGATGAGGCCTTTGTGCACCTTGATCTTGGACTTGCAATGTCCAGAACTATGAGAAAATGAATTTCTGCTGTTAAGCACCTGGTGTGTGATACTTTGTCATGATGACCCAAAGTGGCCAATATGGATTTTGGTGCTGAGAAGTGGGGCGCTGCTGTAACATAAACCTAACAATGCGAAAGTGGCTTTGGAACTGGGTAATTGGTAGAGACTGGATTGCTTTGGAGAGACCATTGACAGAAAAACAAACATTAAAGGTGATTCTGGTGAGGTCCCAGATGGAAGTTAAGAACATGGCATTAAAAACTGGAGGAAAGGTGAGTCATGTGATAAGGTGGCAAAAATTTGACCGAATTATGTTCTAGTGTTCTGTGGAAGGAAGAACTTGAGAGTAAAGAATTTGGATATTTTATACTCACCTGGCAGGGGAGATACCATGATCATGAAGATGGTTTTCCCAGGGTGAGGTTCAACCATTGCCCTCTGGGTATGCTGACCCCTGCGATTTCCCCAAATGTGGGAGACTCGACTGCATAATTTGTGGTAGTGGAGTACTGCATTCGTGTTCTCCCCTAACAAAGGGAGGGAGGGAGGGAAGGAGGGATTGGAGAGGATATTTAGCTAAGGCGATTTTCTTTTTAATGTCAGCTTTACTGAGGTACAACCAAAATAGTTGACGAGTTTCTTAAGCAAAGTGTTGAGTAAGTGGCTTAGTCTTTCCTTATCCCTTATTAGAAAATGTGAGAGAAGAGGGACAAATTGAAGGAATTGTTAAGCAATAAGGATTCAGAACTTCGAGATATGGAAAACCAGTGTATTCAGAGACATCGAGAGAACGAGGGTGAGTGTGAGCGTGCTATGAAGAGAACACCAAGGACATGGGTGAAGAGTCACTTGATAAAGTGATTATGGATGTGAACCATGGATTTAATCAGCCATCTCAGCAGAAGAAAAGCAGAACCTAGGAACAGGGATGGCGTTATACCAGCAGAGACACTGCCAATTTGGACCAAAGGGAGGAAAATAGGACAATAGACCTATTAAGCTATGAACATATTTTATCTTTCAAGAAAGGGAAGAATGACCCCAAAGGTGATCCAGAGATCACCGAGGCTGCCATTCCCACCACAGACCCAGCAGGCAAGGCTATTTTCTCCTTAGTCTCATAGGTTTCCAAGGGTAGGCCCCCTCCTCAGTTGCCCCTGGCCCCGCCAGGGTCAAGGGCACCACAAAGAGCTGGGGATGAGGGGCTAATGCCTAGGGCCACAGGAGTGACACTGTACCCTGTTAAGCCTAGAGAGAAGAGCATCCAGTGATAGAGGATCATTCATGAGCCATGAGGTCTAAAGGAATTTGTCTTGCTAGATTCTGGACTTGCTTGGGACCCGTCACCCCTTCCTTCTTTCCAATTTCTCCCTTTTGGAATAGAAATGTCTATCTTATGCCTGTCCTACCATTGCGTTCTGGAAGCACATAACCTATCTAGTTTTACAGGTTCATAACTAAGAAAGAGAAATTTTGCCTCAGGATGAAACTTAACCTGTAATTTCCTTTCTACCTGATTTAGATATTTAGATGAGACTTTGGCCTTGGAATCGAAGCTGAAATGAGTTAAGACTTTGGGGGCTGTTAAGATGGAATGAATATATTTTGCATGTGATAAAGATGTGAATGTTGAGGGCCCATAGGAGGGAATGTTATGACTTGTTTCCCTAAAGTCACATATTAAAGCCCTGACTCCCAATGCAATCATATTTCCACATAGAGCTGTTGGGAAGCATTTAGGGTCAGATGAGTTCATAAGAATAGGGACTTGATCCAACAGGATTGGTGTCCTTACATGAAAAGAAGGAGACATAAGAGAGCTGTCTCGCTCTCCATACCTGCACAGAGGACAGGCCATGTGAGGACAAAGTGAGAAGGCGGCACCAGAAAATGAATCCTTTGGCACCTTGATATGGAACTTGCAGCTTCCTGAACTGTGAAAAAATAAATTTCTGCTGTATTATTAGTCACCCAGTCTGTTATTTTATGTCAGCCCAAGCAGACAAATGCAATAACTAAGATGATCATAAGCACTTTATACAGGGCCTGGCAGAAGTAACATCTGCTTGCATGTGGTCGGTAGGGTAATAATATGGGTGCAATAATTTATAGATTTAATTTGAACATTTTACCTAAAGCATTATATGGTGTGCCTGAATGTGATATTGTTGTTATAGAATTATGTGCTTATGATTTTGTGATAAAAGATTTTGTACTTCTGGCCAAGAAGGAGGTATAGTTAGACATACTTTACCTCCTCATACAACCAAAATAAGGACAACAAAAATTTAGAAACAAAATAACAACCAGTACTGAAAGAAAACTGAACTATATGGAAGTCCAACAACCAAGGAGTTAAGGTAGACACATTCATCCAGAGCTGTAGGAGGGGCGGAGTTGGGCAGCTGGGAGGAGAGGAGTCATGGCAAAAAAAAAAGTGGTGGCTGGCGGACCGGCAGGTGTGCGAGGTGGCAGCGGGTAGACCCAGTGAGGCAGCGGATTGTGGGGGGGCTTGGCACCCAACGTGACTTGTGGAACCGGGCAGTCCCACATTCACACACAGATAAACCAGGTGAAACTGGGGAGCAAGACAGACCACACAACCCAGGGTCCCAGCACCAGGAAACAAAGCCTCAAACACCAACTGAAAACAACTGTGGGGGGTTGAGGTACAGAGAAAGACCCCCAGACTCACAGGAGAGTTCGTTAGAGAGACCCACAGGGTCCTAGAATGTACATAAACCCACCCACATGGGAATCAGCACCAGAGGGGCCCAATTTGCTTGGGGGAAGCAGCAGAAGCAACCAAGGTCTGACAGAGAGCAGAGTAAGTGCCATTGTTCCCCCTCAGACCCCACCCCAACATATAGCATTACAACACAGCAACGGGGTTGCCCTGCCCTAGTGAACAGCTAAGATTCTGCCCCTTACTACATAACAGGCACCTCAAAACAAAAAAATATGGCTCAAACAGAAGAACAGATCAAAGCTCCAGAAAAAAAAATACAACTAAGCAACAAAGAGATAGCCAACCTATCAGATACACAGTTCAAAAAGCACTGGTGATTAGGATGCTCACAGAACTGGTTGAATTTTGTCACAAATTAGATGAAAAAATGAAGGCTACGCTAAATGAAATAAAGGAAAATGTACAGGGAATCAATAGTGATGAAAAGGAGACTGGGACTCAAATCAATGGAGTGAACCAGAAGGAGGAAAAAAACATCCAATCAGAAAAGAATGAAGAAACAAGAATTCAAAAAAAATGAGATGCTTAGGAACCTCCAGGACATCTTGAAATGTTCCAACATCCGAATTCTAGGGGTACCAGAAGAGGAAGAGGAAGACCAACAAGTGGAAAACTTATTTGAACAAATAATAAAGGAGAACTTCCCCAATCTGGCAAAGAAAATAGACTTCCAGGAAATCCAGGAAGCTCAGAGAATCCCAAAGAAGTTGGACCCAAGAAGGAACACACCAAGGCACATCATCATTACATTAGCCAAGATTAAAATGAAGGAGAGAATCCTAGAAGCAGCAAAACATAAGGAGACAGTAACCTACAAAGGAGTTCCCATCAGACTGTCAGCTGATTTCTCAAGAGACCTTACAGGCAAGAAGGGGCTGGAATAAAGTATTCTAAGTTACGAAAGGCAAGGACCTACATCCAAGATTGCTCTATCCAGCAAAGCTTACATTTAGAATGGAAGGGAAGATGAAGTGCTTCCCAGATAAGGTCAAGTTCAAGGAGTGCATCATCACCAAGCCCTTATATGAAATATTAAAGAGACTTATCTAAGAGAAGATAAAAAACATGTACAGTCAAATGACAGCAAACTCACAATTAACAACCACACCTAAAACAAAAACAGAAACAAACTAAGCAAACAACTAGAACAGGAACAGAACTATAGAAATGGAGATCACATGGAGGGTTAACAACAGGGGAGTGGGAGGAGAAGAGAGGGGGGAAAAGTACAAGAAATAAAAAGCATAAATGATAGATACAAAATAGACGGGGAGGTTAAGAACAGCATCGGAAATGTAGAAGCCAAAGAACTTATAAGTATGACGCATGGACATGAACTAAAGCGGGGGAATGTAGGTGGGAGAGGGTGTGCAGGGTGGAGGAGAGTGAATGGGGGGGAAAAATGGGACATCTGTAATAACATAATAAAATATATAAAAAAGATTTTGTAATAAAAAGGGGGCATTATTTGTGCTGGACCCTGTATATATCAACTATTCTACTGTACACACCTGTGAGGAAGATGTGACATTGTCCTCATCTACATATAATCTAGATGAGAAGCCTGAAGCTTGGAGAGATCATATACTGTAGTAGTGAAAAGTAGTTCAGGCATCAAAAATAAATACAGACACCAACAGAAAGAAGATTGGTAGTTGTCTAATGCCGGGACAATGGAATTTGACTAAAAAGGAGAACAGGGAAACATGGGGGAGGTGACAGAGTTAATTCCATACCTCGTTTCATAGCGTAGTTCCACAAGCATACAAAGCCTGTCCAGTATACAAAGCCTGTCCAGGAAGTATCCAGCCACATACTATGAAAAGGAGGCCTTTACTGGAGAAGATATAAGATACAGGGAACATTCTACATAGGACCGTGATGCCTAAGTCCCCTTCAAATTAGGCACCTTGGGACTTCACACAGTTCTCCCAATTACCATCAGCTGCCCTGTCAAGAATCAAGAATGACTGTGGGTGTCTTTGGCTTGTGTAACTGGGTACATGTCAGTGCCATTTGCTGAGTAAGGGATTCTCAGTCAAAAAACCAGAGTTCTGTTTTAGACCTGATAACTTGGAGCTGTGTGTTAGGCAACCAAACGGACATATCTGGTATGCAACTAGATATGACAGTCTAGAACTCAGGGGCAAGATCAAGGCTAAAGGTAGAAGGAGATGTCCATAGCAATGTGAAGTGTGCTGTCATTACTGTTCCTTGAAGTTCCTCCTGTCTCTGTGAGGGACAGTTCAGTCTCCCTAGATGCCTACTGGGAGCAGGAGCAAGAGGAAAGGAAGGGGAACTAGATCAGAGGTTGTTCTCAGCAGACACTGATAGCCAATCACCACACGCCAAAAAACACTTCCCTTTCCTAAGGAATCATGTATATTTGCAGACAGCTTCTAACTCCTCAGGTTTCCGGTCTCAAGATCACCTTCTCTAGCCATCTAAAACAGGTCTTTTGATTTCTACCCCCCACTGCAGCATGACCTCATTCGACACACTTGATTTCACTCAAATCATTTGTTTAAACTTATTAGTTTATGGTTTTTTAGTTTCCTCTGTTGGAAAGAGAATTAGACTGCCTGGTTGAATCCTGCTTATTCTGCTTATCAGCCAAAACTAGCACAGTGCCTGGCACACAGTAGATCTGCAATAAATATTTTGTTGAAGACGTGGATGAGCTGCCCCCCTCCCCGAGATATCATTCACACTCTACACATGGGCTCGAGTAGCCTTATTCTAGATCACTAATCTCTCAGCTCAAGACAAGCAATGGGTTTG